TCCGCTTCGCGTCGGGCCGAACCACGCCCCTTAGCTGTGATATAATGAGCATATACCACGGCCTGTCGTGAGCTATTGCTTAAATATATAGTGGTAATAATATATTAATGCTGAATTGCATATATATACTATGAATATTTTAGAATGACCTTGGATACATTTTTCACCAAATGATATCCATTCTATTTGAGGAGAGTATTGCATATCAATTAAACCCAATATTCCCTTTGTTGTTACCTCAGGTGTTTCTGAGGGTGTGTGACCCTGGGACCGAGGGTTAGCAGCCCCTTCAGTGGAGGGCCCTCGGTGTGTGGAAGGTGGAAGGTGTTGCTGTCTCAGTGCATACTGCAGCTCCTGAAAAGACACATACATTAGTGGAGCCACAAAGCCCTCTTGAGGTAGCAGAGAGAAGTACACATCACTAAGATCATTCTTCCTCTGAGGTGTTTCCCAGAGTGTTCTTAGGCTGTCTGCAGCTTTGGGAACGGGTGTAGAAGGCCATGACACCCAGTTCTGATCACATACTGGTGTGACTCTGGTTCTAAGTGCCTTGCCAGCTTCCCCATCGTATGGTTTGCCTCAAACGATGCAGGTTATCACACACAATTTATTCTGCATATAAAAAGGGGTAAGTGTTATTTAATACTATTATAATAGGCTAATGGATAGGGTAAAAGAATATAACATTTTCTAGTTATTTCAAGAATGAGAAGATATACCGGTATATATATTTAGAGATTGATCATGTCTGATTAAGCATAAACCCCAATGCTCAAGCTCACAAATGACCATGATGTATCCCATTTGTATAACTTGTACATAAACTGGAATATATAAATGACATTCTGCGGTTTTAGGGGGGGCCAGAATGCTCAAATAAAAAAAATTACTATTTTAAATATGAATGAAAAATGTACTTCAATGAATGCTTCGAATAAAAGGAAATCGGATATTCTCTGAAATTAAAAGCGAAAAGATATGTTGAGGAGTTATCATCTCTACTGGATGAAAGCATTCTGTTACTTCAAAGGGGAAGTAAGAGTGTCCAAGTCACCTAACCTTACACAAATGATGTCATCAAATAAGTGACAGCAGGGGCAAAGGATATTCTCATGTCTAGCTTGCGATTAGCACTAAAATGAACCCTCTTTCCTAGTTACCACAACGCTTGGTGAATCTGAGGAGGGACAACATGGTAAGAGATAACTATCTGACTGCGTAATAAAGAAGTTCCTTTGAAGGAATTGTGAGGAAGGAAACATGTCATTGATTATAGATTTGTAGAGCTGGAGCAGATACCTGTGTGGTGAGCTGGTACTGGAGCTGTTCCAGAGCAGACAGCCGGTCATGATGCTCTCCTTGGTTCTCTGTGAAAGAGTCCCGCTCCGGCTCCACTGATTCTGCTGGACACACAATATTCGTAGAGCCGTACTGTAGGTGCTGTCTAGTAAAACTTTTTTCTAAAATATATAGACAGTTTTTGACTTGTGTTAATTATAATTTGTTTCCATTTTCTCCTAAGTTTATGGGATTTGGGAGAACATTTTCCTAAGGTCCAAAGTCCTACATTTCTATGAGATTAGCATACATATTCTGACAGGTTAGTTTGTCCTGAAAAGAAAGATGTGTATACCATGATTATGCAGTACAAAGTGTTGTGTCCAAGTGTCAGGTACTAAGAGAAGTCGACTTTGTGACCACAGAGTGTGAACGTTGTGATCAGCTGTTTTAGCGCAGTTCTCCAGTGAAGGGGGGAGTCTCCCTCCGCAGCCGGTTGGCGTAGTTTTGGCACAATTTCGTTGTACAGACCGACGTTAACAGCAGCCCTGTCTGTGCACACGGAGACCGAGGTTGCGTTCGAATAGTCCATTTAGCTTAGGAACCTTCCTAACCGAGTGAAATGACCCGGAAGTCCCTCAGTGGCAGCCATGATAAGTGCCGTTCGAATTCTCTACATGATAGGAAAGGAGGTTTCAAACTTCCTTTATAACCTCCTTTAGCTTAGGAACCGCTGGACCTCCCTTGACCGAAAGGAGAGGAGAAAATGCTGCCCCACAATGCCTTGCAGCCGCAGCATTTGATGTCACACAACAGTCGGCCGTTCACGGAAACAAACGATTATGACGGAGAAATTATATAATGAAGTTACGGTGCTTATTAAGCATTTTAAAACGTATGTGGTAAGTTGCCAAAGTGCTTTGTTTTGAACGTTCATCAGTATTATAATCAAAAAGAGAAATATGAACGTTAGTTTTTACTGAAATGATCAAATAAAGTCAACATTTCACAGTCTTTACTGAGCTGTGTGGGGTTTGTTCAACTTTTAAAAAGATGTTTGAATGGTGATATACACAGTGATAGATGTTAAGGACTAACGTTTATAATAAATACATTTGTATTGATTTTAAGATCTTTTCATACAATCATACGTATTGGGATCATTTGTATTAATGTGGACCGGAGGACGAGCATAAGTTTCACTTTCCTTTTTTATTTCAATTCCGCATCATAAACACGTCGGATAGTGAAAGTGCAGTTGGATTCTCTAAAGTACTGCAGTCTCTTCTAAGTCCTTTTGAATTCTCCTATCCACTATCCCTTAACCCCGTGAAGTTTCACTCAGAGGTCAAGGAATAGACGATAGGGTTAGACGTTAGGAGCTGATTTCTGGATTATCCGACCGCAACCCAGATGGTGTTGACCTGGTGCCCCTGTGTATCTCTTCCCTCCCCACCTGTGTATTATTCTTATCCTTTATGTTATATAAAACATTTTAAAGAAAAACACGAAACATTAAATATGAAAATAGGTCTTAGCCAAACCTACCTGGCCAAGTAACTATGTCCATATAAACACAATATGTAAGTTATGAACAGACACCCTACCTACTGATATTATTTCCACGCTGCCTGCTCTTCAGTGTGTGTGTGTGTGTGTGTGTGTGCGTGTGCGTGTGCGTGTGTGTGTGTGTGTGTGTGTGTGTCTGTGTCTGTGTGTGTGTGTTATTGTACCCTGTGGTCCAGCGGTGGTCATCTGGGCCCGGAGGCGGTTCCCCATCTCTATCAGCTGCTGCTTGTCTCTGCTCAGCCGGGCGATACAGGATGCAGCCTGCTTCAGTCTGCTGTGCAGGACAGGAAGTTTGTTTTCAGTACCCTGCACATCTTCTAAAGGGCCGCCAGACATCTGACCTGAGGTCTGCTGCCGCTTCAAACAAAGGTTCTCCTCCTGGAGCTCTCGTACCAGCGCAGTCTGGAAGGAAGCGGAGACAAGAGATACAACTTGAAGGAACTGGTTTGCAGCACCCCCCTCACACAATATCTTCTCACATAACTGACTGGTTTGAAAATCAGCTTTTAGGTGTTCTTGGATGCTTTGTCTACCGGGAGTCAAAACTGAACATGGAAAGGTAGCGTTCTGTTATTACGCTCCATATATCTGGAACAAACTACCAGAAAATTGAAACCCAAACAAACTTTTATTTGCCGCTTCTTTTTATTAAATCAAATAACTATTTATATCTAACACTGCACTGTACTGCATTTTTATTTGTGTATTCTCTGTATGTCTTGTTCTATTTTAGCGCGTTTTAATTTGTATTCTCTTGGTATTCTAATGTTTTTTAAATGTTATTTTAGAATGCGTTCTTTTTTTTTGTAAAGCACTTTAATTGCTATATAAATAAACGTACCTTGCCTGGCGTTTAACTGACGTTTTCTAAGTGAACGTGGGCGTTACATGAAGCGTTAAATTGTGTGTCACATTTCATGTATTCATATCTTACACTGCACTGTCACTTTTATTCTTGTTTTTAAACCACTTTTATCCTATTTGAGCTTTTTCTTGTTTTATCATCTTGGCTTTTAAATATTAAAATGTGTTTGAATTTAATTTTGTAATAACAATGTTTTTGTTGAGCTATATGTTTACGCTTATAATGTTTTTGTAAAGCACTTTTAATTGCCTTTCTTTCTGGGCCAATGTTGTTAATGACTGAGAGACAACATGAGCGATTTGTCTTTTGACATGGTTGATAATTGTCCCAGTCATAGGTTAAGCATGAAACATGTCAGCTTTAACCCCCAGGTCAACTTCAACTTGTTGACTGGTTTTGCTACACACCTGTTTCATTAGTTTGGCGAGAGCAGACTCAATATGTGCCACTCTGACCTCCTGCCTGTCCAGAGCTGAGGGGTCGGCACCATTCTCTGAGAGCAGAACACCTGAGGATTACATATAACAGGCAAAAGACAAATGAGCACACATTATATGATATATATTACATTAATACGAACACAATTATGATTTAATACAAAATGGACATAGATGGAACAATCAGAGGGAAATATTGTACTTTTTAATCAAGAAAGTAGGGGAGGTGTTGGGCGAGAAATTGTAATTGCATATACCGTATATATACCTTGCTTTAGTCCCTGGTTCTGGAGGTGTGTGTTGTCCGGAACTAAAGGAGCCAGATTCTCTTTACCCGTGGCTTCCAGCTGCCCCTCTAAGTGTCTGCATCGAGCCTTCAGGAGAGACACCTGATCCAGCCTGCCTGTGGGCATTTTCAAAAGAGTACTATAAATATTTGACCGTAGATTAGTGTAATGCAAGTAAAAAAAAAAGAAGAAAAAAGACTGACTTATTTGAAACAAGCAATCTACACCCAAGCTCACCGGGGACTAAGTTCTGTGTTTCCAAGAGGCAGGTTTGAGGAAGACCGGCTTTTCAGCTTAAAAAAGTCTTAGCTAGATTTCATGGAAAATGAGTGCTATTTAAAGAACACATACAGTATGTATGGAACCACTGTAACTGAGGTTAGTTTACTTCTAAAGCGTAAACTTAACAAGTTCCGGTGGCACAGTAATCTGATTTGAAATCAGTATACAGAATTAACATCATTGTGAACAAGGTTACACATTTACCTGCCTCAGTTAGATACTGTGTCAATGTATCTTTGTCACATAACTTAAGTTTACAATCACTGTAGGAGCCATATGTTCAAATGTATAGTTTGATATATTTGAATATTATAATCCTTTGTTGTTAGTGCTATTATATCATTTATTTGAACCAGCCGTGTGCAATTGACGGCATAGACGACCGCAGCTGTTTGTGATTACGAGACGTTATAGCCGACGGCAGCTGCTGGTGATTGTAGTGTGTTTGTTTGTTTGTTTGTTTGTTTGTTTGTTTGTTTGTTTGTTTGTTTGTTTGTTTGTTTGTTTGTTTGTTTGTTTGTTTGTTTGTTTGTTAAATTGACGGCATAGACGACCGCAGCTGTTTGTGATTACGAGATGTTATAGCCGACGGCAGCTGCTGGTGATTGTAGTGTGTGTGAGAAGGAGAAAGATATTGGGGTCAATATTTACATTCAAAGCTTCTATTAAGGTGTTTGAATGGAGCTTCGAAAAATCTACTTTTAAAACCTCAAGAGTTCAAACTAGATTAACGTTATTTAATGATATTACTCTTCAATTTCGTCAACATAAATACACATATGTTGTTGTATTCATGTTTCTGTGGACTTCATTTTTACTTTTGTTCTTTCTTGCGAAGCACTTTGTGAATTGTATTTCTGTGAAAGGGGCTATACTAAATAAATGTATTATTATTATAAAGTAATGCTGTCAAAATTATCGCGTTAACGGCGGTAATTAATTTTTTTTCGAATTCATTGCGTTAAAATATTTAACGCATTTAACGCATGCGCAGAATGGCCCGCCCCATACATCCCACCAGTGGCAGCGCCAGGGTATGGCTGGGGTAGGCTACAGCCATACCAAGAAATGGCTTAGCCCCACCATGAAAAATGATGTTAAATTAAGCAAAATAAAGTCCGCCAACTCGC